TGCCTCAGTACTTCAATCATAATACCGTATGGCAGGTAATTGTAGAGGGGTGCTAAGTGTTTAGTGATTGGTCCGTTTAATATGAGCATACCGCCATACACATAATGGTCCAAAATGGCTGGCTTTACTTGGCCAATAGCTTTCACAACCTGAACTTGCAAAAGATTACTAGCTATTTAGTATGCCATTATCAACCTCCATTCTGAGTGCTTTCTATCATACCCAATGGGGGTGACAACTTGAGACCTTCTATCGGGTCCCCTTGCTGGCAACCCTTCAACAATGGTACATCCTCCTTACACATTCATGTATATATTCCTTGGCTCGATAAATCATTAAATTAAGCTACAGTTACCTCGTTTAGTAGTTTACAGGAGAGCCGGGTCACTACCGTGACCGTCTGAGTTCGCCACGCTGACCGTCTGAGCGGGCTGGTGGGAGTCCTCCATGAAAGGATTGTAGAGGTTTGATTGAGCCTGGCTAAAGCTTCCATATCTGGCTGAATAAAACGTATCACTCTTGGAGCTACTATTCCTTACGACAGCAGGAAGAAAGGAGCAGAAAAGAGTAGGAAAAAACCTAGTCTCGTCCTCCAAAAAAGCTGAAGTTAAATTGAGTAAACAAAGGGTTAATTTTATGATGTTATGTAGGCGTGGTGTAAAGTGCAGAAATTAAAAATGGCGAATTATCTGTCCAGCAAATACTACTCAGAATCTAAAGTGTTAAAGCTAAAACTAATCCTAGAAATTTTTGTGGTACGTATCATAGTTTATAAAATGCTGTGACATGTTTATACATTGTAGAAGAAGACCTAGTGGTATAGAAATTACTGAAGAGGCTAATTGTATTAATTGTAATCAGTGGAAATCTTTTACTGGAAGTGAGTAAGATTCCTGCAGATGTACAGGCTAAAGGTGAGATTAGTTTTTCCTTTTTAGATTTTTTGAAGTGTGTCAAGTTATGGTTTTGTTTGTTTTTGATTTTTCATTTTGTAACGTGTGCATGCTGAGCCTGAATTACATTCAAACAATGTTTAGACATTGTGCCTGAATATTGCTTAATTTGATCTGCCATTTTATGACAGTTTTCCACAGGATATTGGCATAGTCCTCATGCATCCTCAGGCTCTTGTTCCAGCACTTTAGTACAGGGTATGTAGCCAAAAAGTCACAAAGAGAGAATTCTCTTTTTATAATTTTTTCCAATGCATATATGTATACAGTTTTTATTTTGTGTAGAAAGTTTGAGCTTATTCTGATCAAAGTTGGATTTTTTTACAAATTTTTATAGTTGCTCAAAAATTGTGCCAAATCAAGTGTCCTTTTATTTTTAGATGGTTCTCTTAGTATCAGTGGAGAGGTAGCTCATGCCATCAATCTCAGTGGACTGAGGGAAGTGTGTATTAGGAGAGTGGAAAAAGATGAAGTGACACTTGATTTGGTTGAATTCATATTTAAAGTGAGTTATGAGTATGAACTCTAGCAGTGCATGTACAAGCATGTGTGATACTTAAAACCTTTATTGAACCTACCCAGGGCCACTGAGAGGGGGGGGCAAAAGGGGCAAATGCCCTGGGCCTCACAATTTTATGGGCCCCAAGAAATTTTCAAGAACTTAATTAAACAAAATTATTACAGAAGATGGGCCCTTCTGCCCTT